ACTTTAACTTTTGGATGATTGCCCAAGCAGTTTAAGGACAACATGCCCTTAAACATTCAACTGGGTGACCGCCTTGTGTAAAACTAGTGACATTGTGTTACTTTGTTTAAAAAAGTGACATTACAGTATATCTGTTCAATAAAAGGTAAACATTGTAATTGAAAAAGTGATAGAAACATTGTAATTGCATGTCCTTAAAGCATTGCAATGTTAAAAAAGTGACATGATGGCACTTTTTGTTAAAAAGGTGACGTATGAACCGCTAGCATGTTAGAAGTGATAGTCACTTCGACAATTAATCCACAATTAGAAGCATTGTTACATAGTAACTCAATCGAGATTTTTCCGAAGTTTCCTGCTCCTACATCAACTTTTCCGAACTTAAATGTTTCTCAAACTATCTTCATTCATTATTATTGTTGTACTTCTGCCATTTGATAGTCTGTTAGGCAAATAAAGTTAAAAAAATGTGTGACAACAATATTTTTGAAAGCAATAGTAAATCACTAAAGTTAGTTAATATAAAGATAACCACTAATTTATCGTTGAAACATGTGAACAAGAAGAACCTTATTCAAGAAATTTCTGAAAACAAAAAGGTTACTTAAAGAGTAATTTTTAAGTTTAGCTTCATCATGCTTTAACTGTTAATAGCTTTGAACATGTACAAATAATATAAATCTTAACCTTGGCAACTAGATGCGTTATAATAAATGAATTTCAGTGTAAAGCTATAGATTCCACTCCATGTGACAAGAACCTAAGAAAAAATATCCCTAGACAAGAACGATCCAGGCTCATCATTACAAGCCATAGTTGTGGTAATACAAATGGCATCTACTATGTTAAGCATCAACAAACAAAGTCCATTGTGACAACTAAACACTTCTACCAAATTTTGCAATCGAAGATCAATTGAAACCTTGGTGACCTTGGCACCCTTCTCAGTAGCAACTTTGGTGACCTTGGCACCAGATGGATTGTTCTTGTGTGTTGACATGTCAGGAAGGCATTGACTATTTCTCATATCAATTAAGAGTTTGAAGTATTCCTCTATTATATGATATTAGGCAAGTGCCACATTCATGATTCCATAAGTTTTTGCAATGGAAAAGACATAGTTGAGCCTTTTGATTTCATGAACTTCAAAATTTCAACAGCTTCAATCACAGTTGTTTCAACCGTCAGTCTAAAATTCTTGATCATAAATCATCTATAGAGAAAATTGACAAATATTCAAAAACGTTAACAAAATCTAAAAAAAGTGACAACAATATTTTCATATTTTATGTCAAAATGCTTAATAGAGGAGGTAGCATATCCAACTGCGACCAAAAGTACATCATGCTATCCTATTTTTCAAACATTGAACAATTGCTCCACTATTCTGCTACAATTTTGAAGAGAAACAACATCGAAAATGACTCTACCATCTAATTACTAAGGAATGGAGAAAATGATAACAATGTAGAAGTTACATTCTTCACAAATAGTCATAACACTAGAAAAGGAACACATGCATATGCTCTTTTTATAAACACAAAAAATGGATTCCTCTGAAAATACAGAGCACAAACAACCTAGTTTATTCATCGCAAAACACACATAGAACTTCGTTGTTCACAAATAGCTGTAACAGAAGAAAACGGGCATACGAACACAGAGAAAACGGGGGGCTAAACTTAATAAACACAACTAATAAAATTACTCATGGAGAAAAATTCAAGACACAACTAATGGCAATGATACTTGAACTGTATAGCATTTCAACAATCCCCTAATAACTAACATAAGAAATCCATTTTCGATAGGTGATTTAAAAAAAAAAAGTAAGCCATAAAAAATTGAATCTAAATTGGCAATCAAATGCATACATATACATACCTTCTATCAAGGAGACTTCTAGTACTACAATCGAAGATTTTAAAAAATTATACATCAATTTAATTCAAAAATATATATTGAAATCTGTAATGTGTGAGGAGGAGCGAAGTCGTGGCATGGTTGAGGATTTGTCTTTCATGTCATTGTTTGAGAGCTTTCTGGAAATGGGAATCAAGGGCTTTAATTTGGGCTTCGGAGTTTTGGAGTTTTAGAACGTAATTACGTGGTTAAAGGTTTTTAATAGTTAATATAGTATTATTCAAATTCTTTAATTTTGGATGGTAATTGGTCTAATTTTCCCAAACAATAATTGGCTCAATATGTAAAATTCTATAATACACTTAGGAACATTTTAGTTGACAAATATTTTTCTAAATTCATTTTTTAAAAATATGCATCTAAAATTGCTTCTTTTTTTTTTTCTTTGTTTTTGCCCCCACCGAACTCAAACTACTTCCCAACTTCTGCAATACATACATCAAGGGTAAATAACACAGAATGTCCATACCTTTCAATATCATTGTGCAAAACGTCCATACCTTTCATTTTTTGACATTTTCACCCCTACCATCCACCTTTCATCGCAAAGGTCTTTTTCAACAATTTTTCAATAAAATGACGATTTTACCCTTCTATTCAAATGAAACAAAAAAGAAAAGAAAAGAAAAAATAAACAATTTATTGCAATCATAATTCTAAATTTTTCAAAATATTACCGATAATTCCAAAATTCTCCACCACCACTTTCACAACCCCACTAAGCCCCACCTATAGATCCACATAGCACCACCTTCTGGCCACCGTTCCTACCAGATTCCACCGCTACTATCCTTGCTTCTTTCTCCCCAACATCCTCTTCCACAATATTGGTCACAAAATCTGTCGAAAACAGTCACATTTTCAGCTTAAAATACCGAACTGTTGTATACAACCCTTCATGGTAACCCCACTTTCGGTGCCACCTATGGTCACGCACCACCACCGACGGTTACCCCTCATCTCGACGAACCTATACATACATGGCCTCACATCAATCAAACATGCCTTAAATCATTCTATTGTAATCTAGACATTCAACAATGGCGACGCCCATTTTACTAAACTCTTCACCTTCAATTCGTGCATCCTACAATACCAAATCCCAAAATTGGCATCAATCGAACCATCAACAAATCCAAACGACAATGAATATGAATCTAATTGAACCAATTACCCTCCCAACAGTTTCAATTTCTTGTCCAAAACTCTCCATGGGAGTGATGCACGGAGAGAACTGTCTAACCAAAATTGATGGGTCCTAAGTGCTCCAATCTTCAAATTCGTGTGGGGGAGGACGGTGGGGGAGTGAAGCAAGGATGGTAGTGGTGGAGTCCGATGGGCGTGGTGGTCGAAATGTGGTGCTATGTGAATTTATATGTGGCATCTTGGTAGGTTGTGAAAGTGGTGGTTGTGGAGAATTTATGATTTTTTTATAATTTTTTAAAAACTTAAAGACTATAGTTGCACTTGGTTATTTATCTTTTTCTTTTTGTTTTATTTGAATAGAAGGGTAAAATCGTTTTTCATTGAAAAATGGTTGAAAATGACATTTTACGAAATGAAAGGTGGAAAGTAAGGATGAAAATGCCAAAATATAAAAAGGTAAGGACGTTTTGCACAATGACATTGAAATGTAGGGATGTTCTGTGCTATTTACCCCATAATACAACACATTTAAGCTCCGTTTGAGCCACATTATTTTTTTCATTCCCATTCTTTTACTCATTTTTAATCACACATTTTTCAATAAAATAATATTTTTCATCACATCAATAACTTTTTTTTTCTTTTTCAACTACATATTCTCCATCACATCAACAGTAAAAATGCATTTTTTTTCCAAAAATGTGCACCAAACGGGGGCTTAGTAATTTTTTTTTTTTTTATTTTGTAGTAAGTTATTATTAAAGATTACAATACTTGAAATTCTTCTTTTTGATGAATTAAAACACACGTATAATCTAAATCACGATCGTTCTCGGTACACATATTCAAGATATGCTCGACAATCGACATGCATCAAAATTTTGTACCGTTGACTAGAATAGCTTCATGTCTATCAATAAATTAATAATTTATTTATTTATCGATTATTTTATAATCCCTGAAAAATAATAAATTTTCTTGATTTCAACATTATTATTTTATGGAGATTATACTGTAGTTTTACAATTATGCTGCTAAATAGGTAGGTAAAAAAAGTCTTGATACATCTTTGCCAAGTTGTGAATTATTTTCGTTTTTAGTATAAGGGGTTATTAGTTAAATATTAATTTAGCGATAAAATACGCTCGTAATAATGATTATTGTGTTACCTTCCCTATCTAATTTTAACTGATTGTATTATTGTTTTAATACGAAGTATATGCATATCTTTGGATTTTTATAAGGAATTTATAATGTAAAAATTAGCGTCTTTCATAAAATATGTGAATATTAAGGCCTTATCTGGAAACACTATTAATCAGAATTTGGAACGTTATGACCGTAATTGTTGATCTAGTTGTGAGAGAGTGGGTCCCATTTTTTAAAAATAAACGGTAATAAAATCAATTCCTTACTGATTTTAATTTGCACCAGATAGCTCCTACATGTGTAATAGCTCGAATTGGTTGTGTCCACGTGCTTTCCTCGCACATACGCCTTGTTTGGTGGGAATTAAAATACGATTTTTAATAAATTTTGATAAAAATTGATAAAATATATGGTTGAAAAATCATATATTTTATAGAATGTATTATTAAGGCCCTGTTTGGGAGGAATTAAATTTTTCTACAGTAAATCAATTCTCATTTTCAACCACAAATTCTTCAATAAAATAATATTTTTCATCACATCAATAATTTTTTCTTCTTTTTCAACCACACATTTCCCATCATATCACTATTAAAAATTAATTTTTCCCCCAAAAATCTCTCCCAAACAAGCTCTAAAATTAATTATTGAGTTTGACTTAAATATCTTGATTTTAATTGTAAGATTTCACTTCCCTTAAAAAGGCATAATCGTAACCAAACGCTTCACATCTCTCACTCATAAAGCAAAACAGACGGCAGAAACTCACAAACCCTAGAAAAATGTCGGGCGGGTTTTTCCGGGTAAGAATCTTCCTTTTGATTTGTTCGAAAATCCATTATTTAAAGCTCCTTGTCTGAATTGGATTGCTTTTTTTACTTTCTTTCTAAATTAAGAATTGTGCGGGATTCACGAATTTAGATCTTCTTATTGAAGTGTTTAGTTGTTAGAATATGATTATTACCGTTTTAATTTCAATTAGGGCACAACGGCCGATCAGGATACTCGGTTCTCGAACAAGAAAGCCAAACTGCTCAAATCTCAGAAGTTCGCTTCTGAATTGGAACACCTGGTTTGTCTTTTTATTTTTTCCATTTATGCCATCTGTTGTTTGATTATTATTTATGATTATGACTACATTATTTATTTATTTATTTATGTATTTATTTTTTTATTTAATTTTTGTATGAAAATGTACTTAGGTGGACGAGAAGAAAGTTTAAGATGGATATCATTGGTTGAAGGGGTTACCACACTGATTTTTCTCTTATTCTGAATTTTTGGATTTATAGGGGGGAACATATATTGAATAACGTTGAATGTTCTTATGAACGTGGAAATGTGTATTTTTTAGGTGGACATGGCAAAAGTGAAGATGGATGTTATGAAGCCGTGGATTGCAAAGCGTGTGACTGAGCTTATTGGATTTGAAGACGAAGTTCTTATTAATTTTATATACGGTCTACTGGAGGGAAAGGTATCTTAAAACAATGACCTGTATTGTTTAGTTGTGTTTTCATCAAATAGCTGATTTTTATTGTTAGATGATTGATTGAGCAAAAATGTAAATTACTGACCTTTGAGTCTCACTGTTTTCCAATGCAGTCATCTTTTACTTAAGATTAAGCCTTCATTTGGCTAGCAATTTATATATGGTTCATAAATTGAGTAAAAGTCACACATTAATTTCTGACCTTCACAACTACTGTTTATTATTATCCACCCATTTCGTGAGACCACTACTAATCCTCTTACCATTCCTATTTATAAACCATTTACAAATTTGGCAGATAGAGGCTAAAATTTTCGATATACGCTGAACAACCTTTGATTGGGTGCAGGAAGTTAATGGGAAGGAGGTTCAAATTTCACTTACTGGATTCATGGAGAGAAATACTGGGAAGTTTATGAAAGAGCTTTGGTCTCTACTTCTGAGTGCACAGAAAAATGTGAGTGGTGTTCCACAGCAGTTTCTGGATGCTAAAGAGGAGGAAACTAAGAAAAAGAAGGTCTACTCATGCTCCCATAAGTTATTGGATCTTCTATTTATATCTGTGGTGTGTCTTTGTCTAATGGTGTGTCATGGGTTGTTACAGGCAGAGACTGATCGTATCACAAATGAAATTCAAAGGAAGAAAGACAAGGAGAAGCAGGAACTAGAGCTAGAGCTAGAGAAAGATAAAATGGTATTTGGAAAACATTTTTATACAAAAGATAGATTATAGAGAACTCAAATTTTGCTCCTTACCTTTTATGTTTCATTGTGTTCAGCTTCCTAAGCATTTACTTTGGTCATATACTTTACTTAAAACTGACGTAGGATGGTGATGGTGACATCTCAAGATACAAGAATGCTGGTCCAGAGCTAAATTCAAAACATGATTCTAGGTCTTCCAGCCCCCAATCGGCAGATGAGAAAGCACGTCGTGAGAGAAATGGCCGGAGAGGACGAAGCAGGTAGGAAGTAACTGTATTTGCTAATACTCAAATTGTGAGGGTACTCAATTGGCAGGGGTTTGATTACACTTTTTTTTGGAGTGGCCGAAACTCTAAACAAAATGAACTGAAGCACATCTTGATTTGCTAGTACTCCAATTTTCTATTGCTTCATTTGTTGCTCTTAGGCTTTGTATATATCATGGGAAAATATTATACAGGGAAGTAATTCCTAAGATAAATGAGTTAATGGAAAGAAGGATAACACAAGGATATGGATAGAAGTGAGGTGTCGTAAATGTCTTGGAGCTCATCAAAAGTGATTTCAAAGTTCAAACAAGAGTTTTATGAAGTTGGACAGTTCTGGGTTAAATTGTTTATGGCAGATAGATGGCTTTGTACCTAAATATTAGAACTAGAAAGAAAGAGTATGAACACGGAACTTTCTAGAGGAGGATGAGAGAGCTTTGCCCATTTGAGGGTAGGTCAGAATCATACAATTAATTTCAATCCTCAAGGATTTGGACTGCAAACGGTAAACTAAGTCTGGAATCTTTGATTACAAGAAATTATTTGGGACTAACTAGGAGTCTGGGGGTCTTTATTGATAGCAACTTCTATATATTATTCTAGACCAATAGAACTTGTGCAATGTAAAAACCTACTAAAAATGAAATTGGAGTACGAATAGTGCTCATGTCCACCAGTTATCTGGTATACCAAAATAGCCTTCTGCGTTTGATTGCTAGTACAAGGTGGCTGATGTTGGCTTAGTTATAGCCTCGTAGGTTTCCAAAACCTCGACTTTTCCTTGAAATAATTGTTGCTGGATTGAATACTTCTGTGCACTACGTGCTAGATAACTATGTTGAAAAGTGTGATCAATCACCTTATCGAGAAAAACATTCATGTGCTTTTGGGACTTTTTGGGGGCTTTCACCACCATAAGATATTTGTTTTTTTCCTGAAGCTTTGAAAGCATTGATAAGTAGTCCCAAGTGATTATTTGTTGCATACATTAATTTTGATTTATTTATCTATTCTTTTACCAGTTTTTTTCTTTGTTCTTTAATGAAGATTGTTTATTATTAGCATTACATATAACGCTGACAATTCAATAATAAGATTAGGGGAGTGTTTAGATTTTAGATATTATATGTTGAACCACTTTGCGTAGAAGCTAAAAAAGTTAGAGACGACAAATAGTATATTTAGTCTTCAAAATTCTTCCTCGCGTAACTGACTGGATTCATTTTTTGTCAAAGGCATAACATGCACACAATTTTGGTAAATGCATGGGGGGCAAACTTGATCCCATGAGCATTGCCTGCTGTAATACCATTTAGAACTTTTTTTTTTCTGTGTCTAAAAGCTTAAGCCATTATAAGGGGATACATCTATTAACATTTAGTTTTCAACATTATGGGATAAATGTAGCCCTTGTTTGGGCTACATTTTAATGATAATTTGGGAGAAAATGAGTTTTGGAATGGTGATTTTTTTGGAAAATGTATGGTTAAAAAATAAGGAAACATTTAATTTATGTCTAATAATATTTTACGGGAGAATATGTGGTTGAATGAGTTTTGAAAAAATGAGTTTATGAAAAAATGGAGGCCAAACATAGGCGTAGTAGCGTATTCGAAAAAAAATGTCAATTGTTCTGTACTTCCCTACATTTAGAACTCCACGCAATGGCATATTATGTGCTATACAGAAGCTGCGATAGTTAGTCCCTATTAAGTTTGGATAAAGTTTAGATTTTTAGTAAATTTTTGTAACAGTTGGTGAGATATGTGGTTGAAAAGTTGATAAAAATTGTAAGTCTCATGAAATGTGGGGTTAAAAATGAGTTTGAAGAAAAATGAGTTTTCAGAAATGGGGCCATACAAGGATTAAATTTCTATTTACTTGGACCTAGCTAATGAATGAATCATTGCAATATGCATGTTACACCGTCTACTCTCATTAGAGCTTGGAGTATCATGCTGAGTAATATTGACATTAGCCAAAATATAAATAAATAAATAAAAATTAGTTTTCTCTTGCTCTTAAGCAGTTGTGATTTTTATGACAGCATTTTTTTTTTCATTTGTTTGTTTATTTATATTTGTTTCATTAGTGTTTGGTTTTTTATCTTTTGGTTTCAGTTAGATTAGATGCTGGTTACACTTGTAAGTAACCCTAGGAAGCTTTGTGTAGACAAATGTTAATTGTAGAACATTTTAATATGCTGACTGGATGATTTAGATTATTATTTGTTTCATTTGCACAGGGTTTCACAATCTCCAGAATCAGCTGACCGCTCCCCATCTTCAAGGTAAGTATTGTGATCATGATGATCTGTGTTGTTCTCTGCTCTACTTAATTTGCTCTTGTTAAAAGGTATTGAGTTTTAAGCTTGTGGTTCCCTGTAGCAGAAGGATGCCTTCGAGGCCAATTAGCAAGTCCCTTTTCAATTCTAGAAGTTATTCAGACTAGGTTTCCATTTCATGTCAGAAATAGTGCTCGTAATTTTAATAAATTTTGTTACTTTCCATTTCAGTGAAAGACGGAGGTCAAGAAGTTTATTTAGATCACCCCCACCAAGAGGGCGGTCCATTTCCTTGGAGAGGCCACATCATTCTTCACCAAGGCAGTCTGGGACACCTAGTAGGAGGCTTTCACCCCACCACTCCCCTCCACCAAGGTATAGGTCAACCCGCTTTGGGCGAAGGCCTACATCACATTCAAGGCGCAGGTCCCCTTCTCCTGCACGATATAGAGTTCGTTCCCCTCTGCGTCGCAGATCACGATCTCCTTTGCGTCGCAGATCTCGATCTCCTTTTCATCGTAGATCAAGATCTCCTTTGCGACGTAGATCACGATCCCCCATGTGGCGTAGGTCAAGGACACCGATACGAAGATCACCAGTGCAATACAGGTCCCGATCGCCTGTTCGACGCAGATCACCATCACCTGTGCGACGAAGAACACCATCTCCTTTGCAACAAAGATCACCCTCTCCACTGCATCGTAGATCACCGTATCCCCCGCGTCGTAGATCACCGTATCCCCCGCGTCGTAGATCACCATCTCCTGTAAGAAGGCGGCACCGAAGATCACCATCAACTCCGCGGCGTCAGTCCATATCCCCAATTCAACGCAGGTTCCCGGTCCCTCAAAGAAGATCTATAACCCCTGTCAAACGAAGGTCTCCTTCAGTGCAAGAATGTAGTTCCGCCTCACCCAGTTCCCTTTCGCCAGTCAGGAGGCGATCACTGAAAAGCCAGAAATCACCTCTACCATCTCCTAGGGAAGCAATCAGGTACTTTAGCATGTTAGCTGCTAAGAAATTTTATGATATTTTTTTGTTCAAGCATATTTTTTGCATGTTTTATGTTACAGTTGCATTTAGATGCTTGAGTGCACTTCTGCATTTGATGGTAATGAAGGAATGTATATCTTATTTAGATTGAGATGCCTAGGTATACAAAAAAACAAATCAATAGAGATGACACACCCTTTTTAGCAACTGTGATACATTGCCACAGTGTAATTGTTCATGATAAAGGAGAAATAGAAGATGTTATCTACATGAAAGAACGCTGAAGAGTCAACACAATGAAATTATGTGCCAAGACTGTTGGCATACTTCCACTTAACAACCAAACACATTCAATATAAATTATATCTCAACCAATCTGCTCCAGTTATTTAGAAGCGCTTGCGTCTTCTTTGGTGAAACAAAGAGCAACATGCTTAAAATACAGACGTGCAAACAAGAAGGTGCCATAATTTGTTTATTTTAGTATTTTAACTTTACACCGTTGACACACAATTCTTATCTGAAGATAATTAGTCCATCTAATTGTAGCAGAAATTGCCCTATAGCTTGTAGCTTTAGCTAGAGGGCGGAAATGTAAGTTAATTTTCTGTCAGCTGTTCAGAAGGGATCGTTGTCTAGGTTGAACTGGATCGTTTATTTTGCTGTTTTGTTTTTAAGGGACAGGAAAACATGGAATATCATGATGATGTGGCAGAAAAAATGAAAATATTTGAGCGTGGGATTTTGGTATTAGCCAGCACAAGGAAAATTGTGCTATTTGTTTAGTGAGTTTATCTGCGAAATTTCCAGTATTTCCATTCTCCTTTATCTTCCCTCTTGTTTTATATTTTCATTTTTCTTTTGCTCTCTTGGAAGAGCTGGGCATTCGAATTATAAAAACTGGGTTAGTGAGCCAAGATCTCTATCAAATATCTGGTGAATGTTGTACAAGTTTGTGTTAGATGACCATATGTAGTTTTAATTTATTGCTCTATTTCCATTTCCAAACTGGATTCCCATCTGGCAAACACTTCCCTAGTTACAGTAACTGTAATAATTTTGATGCATGAAATACCTGCTGCTTGGCAATGTGGTATAAAGGTCTAATTGATCTTTGATCTCCCTAATCCAAACTGTGGACTGTAGGCCTCTTGTTTCTTTGAGGTCACCGCAGAGGGATATGCTGGATCGAAATGATAAACATGGAAGAGTGCTAGATCCGTCTCCTTCTTTGCACAAATCCCCATCTGTTTCAGAAGTGTCTGGGGAAAGAAGTCATAATGAACAGCGAAGGTTCAAACCTCATTCTATATCTACCTTTTGGTATTTTTATTGCATTTTCTTGAGATGTAAGTCACGTATCATATCTGGATAGGTCAAGTAGTCCTTACCGAAGAAGGGAAAGAATTATTCTTCCTGAGAGTCCAAACCCTTTACCAAAAGGAACAGGGTCTAATCCTCACCCTGATAGTTCTGGGACAAGTGCTGATGACAGGTAAACCTTGTATGCCAGGTTTTGTTTGAAAAGTTATCGTTCATGAATGTGGTATCTTTTACCCTGTAAATTTCTAAGCTGTGCATGGTTTTTACTTAGGGAGATTGGAGAGCATACATTTAGATCTTCTGAGAAAAATTCTCCATCACGTGATCGACATAAAGATTCGCTTGGCTTTGCTGATCATGTGAAGTCAAGAAAGCCTCACCTGACAAACAGGTATGCTGTTGCTGCGGTATATTCTGTCTCGGTAGTCAATAATTTGTGTGTAACCACTCTAATTTTTTCTATTATGTTTTTATTTGAATAACCAGTGAAAAGTTACCTGAAAGGGTGGATTGCATAGTAAATCGTGCGCAACAAGAGTCATTACCGATTCATAAAGGCACTGTTTTAAGAGTAGGTGGAAAGGAATCGCATGTTGATGATACCAAGGGCAGTGATCGATATCCCGAACTAAAAGTCTTGCCTAAGGTTTCTAGGGCAGACGAGCTGAATGCTCAAAGTGGTTCCATGGGATTCGACTCTGAGGAAACTGATAAACATAAAACTGAAGTTAAAGAAAAAAAGAGAAAGCACAAGAAGTCGGAGAGAAAAGAGAAGGAATCGGATGGTTATTCTACCTATGATTCTTATGATGAGAGGAAGGAGGCTAAGAGGAGGAAAAAAGAGGAAAAGAGATTGAGAAAAGAGGAGAGGCATCGTTTGCGCGAGGAACGGCACCGCAGAAGGAAGGAAAAGCATGCAGAGAAGCTAAAATTGAAGTCGCTTGACACTGGTAGTCCATCTTTAGATATTAAAAGAGATCATGATCACCATGCTTCTGATGATGAAGGTTATAGAAGGCGGGAATCGCACACAAGTGATGTGGAGGAAGCAGAATCTGAGCAGAAAAAGCTTGAGATAGAGTTGAGGGAAAAGGCTCTTGAGTCGCTTCGAGCAAAAAAGGGCGCTCGCAATTAACTTTTTTGCTGCTCTTAAATATTTTTCTTTTATTTTTCAGTTATGATCTTGTTATGAGTTCTTGTTTCTGTCGTAGACCTATTCCATTTCTGTTTCGGATGAATGTATTCTTGGTAGCTATTTAATGTAATCTGTCTTTACTGCTGGCAGCTGAAATGGAAAAATGAGGATTTCCTGAGCTAGTGTCTTGAGTGCAACTTTATGCTGATTTTCCTGCTAAATTTTCTGGTAATATTTGTTTCCCTTCGCTGAGAACATGTTTATGTTCGTTTTACATGACATATAAAAGTATGCACGTGAATCATCTTGTTGCTTTGCTGGTGTTTGCCATCTTTGACCATGTCGTGTCTCCAATACTTATATTTTGGTATTTATTTGTCTGCTCTGAGTTGCAATTTCAATTAAGCTTGCAGGTAGAGAGTAATCAAGTTCCTACCGAGTGACTAACCTAACCTTTTATTCTTTGGAATGATTATATACATCGTGAAGGTCTTGACAGTTGTTTTTCCAAAATAACTTTGTTACTAAAATGACTTTCTGGTTAATGATAGATGAGAATAATTGTCAGCTTGATGACTTCGTTGAGCAGATCTTCTGCAACTCCATATTTTGGACCTCCATACAGGTGAAGTATTTTACTCTAAGTCGGCTTCTCTTTAATAATAGTTTACTAGGTTAAGATTTTGTTTGAGTTTTGTCAAAGTTCTAATTTCTGCCTCTGTATGGTTTGCAGCCTCGTTTTTCTCAAGAATTTTATTTTCTAATGATATGATACCTTAGGTTGCTGTTTACGATGTTGATTGCAGCTGGTAAATCACTTCTGATGTGTAATTGTGGTGTAATTTTGTAGGTTCAACACTTTGTTATGGTTTAATTGTTCAGTGAGGTCATTAACTGTTCGATTTTCTTTATTCATGTTTGCTAACTATTTCTTTTGTTCAATTATTGTTGTTATTATTACTATTATTATTTTTGGTGGGATCCACGCGTGGGAGTGGATGCAGATTCTTATGCTTCACGTCGTCCATATTTGTTCGCTGCATACTGTGGCCTGCAATGTTGACACATAAATTTCATATGATGAGTCAGTTAATAATTATTCATATACTGATTACATCTTTGCTAAATATGCTTTAACATTTATTATCATTCCTATTCCTTTTCCTAGAAAGGTTATTGGGTAAGTGGAGAAATAATTACAGATGAGGATTCAGTTTTATTATAAGTCCTGACTGTCGAGGCATTTGTCATATTAGCCGTTACCTTATAAAATTCAAAGGAGAGTTTTTTATTCTTATGGCATCATATTACTCTTTTCTTCCCCCTCATAAATTAATGACTTTGCAGCTAAATCTAGGTTTTTCGCCCAAGTGTCGTGCATTTTTGAAATAAACCTACATCCGCAATAGGGATCTAGAGATGCCTGGTTTTAGAAAATGATATCGGAGCTTAAAACGGGCATATATTGCACAAAATTTTTTAGAAGAAATGTCTACATGCAAAAATTTTAGACGGTGTGAAAAAATGTGATGATGCAGCTGTTACGTGCTTGATCTCCGTCCGTGAAGTGCGTTATATCAGTATATTGATGCACCTGGTTCCAAGCATGAATAAAAAAGAGTTGAATCAGGTAGTTTGGCAGTCAATCAGCATAAAATTGTAAATGCAGTCATGACTAGGATCAGTGGAGTCGACTTCCCAAGTATGGATATCTTATCATGTTTAAGTGAGACGGCAATTGTAAATGGTTGGCTTAGAAAACTGCATCTTGTTTGGCATTGAGTTGAAAGGTTGAGTTTTTTCACAATCATATGGATGTCCTAAAAATGATGAAATGAAGGCTTGAAAAAATGTGGATTGCTATTTGAGTTGGAAGGTAGTGTTGACTTCGGAGATAGATTCGTTGATACACACCATTCATGAACTCTGTAACCAATAACAAGATCATGTTTGCTTCGAAGTGCGAAATGTTGAACATGAGCATGTTCAGTTGTGCTTAAAATTAAGTCGACACTTTTTTAAAGTTACTTAGCGTGTGTTTGAGACACATTATTTTGTAAAAATGTATTTTTGAATAGTAGATTGATGGAGAATGTGTGGTTAAAAAAAAGAAAAAGTTATTGATGTGATGGAAAATATTATTTTATTGAAGAATGTGTGGTTGTAGATGAATAGAAAAATGAGAACGAAAATTTTAATATGGCTCAAACATGAGCTTATTTTGCCACATGGTTTTCAAAGTTAGTATTTTCAACTAAACAAACTTGCTTCTCAAAAAATTCAGTCTTAGCTTAATAGAAATTAAACTTTCTTTCAAGTTACTTATTTTTCCAAACATGGCTTTTGAAGTTAGTATTTTTAACTAAAGAAACTTGCCTTCTAAAAAGTCAGGTTTGGCTTACTTTATAGAAAACTAATTTTAAGCACAATCAAACATGTTGTAGGTGTTGTGTTGAACATGGGCATGGCATGCTGACCCTGGTCGAGCATAGACGTAAAGAAAATGGCTCTTTATTATTTTATTTTCAGTGTTTTTTCATATTTAACTTTGATTTGAGAATGCCAGCATACGTATGTGAATAGCTCTGTTAGACATCCAATGAAGTAACAGTAGTAATTATCTAGTAGTTGATTATTCGAGGTTGATCTAGTTCTCATTTTATCTGGCTACCTTCCAAGTTATACATATAAATGTTATTCTTATTATCCTATAAAATGCTGCCTTTATTAGTGTCTTTGCTTCATCCTCCCCGTTGAAGTCAATGTGTGCTTTATATATTATCCTTAACATATCCCTGTTTTCCTTGTGAGAGTATTGTCTTGAAAAATCATAGGAGCCTCACTTCATCGGTATTCGGACGAGTTTGTTTGATTTTCTCATCTACTTGGGTGGTTCTCAGAGGCTGTTTGATATTCAAAAATTTCTTGATTTGGCCCAATAGTTGGATAAACATGATATAAATCATTTAGCCTTGGTATACAGTTAAAGATTTGGTTAAACTCGTGCCATTATATTTATTTTTATTTATAAAATTAGTACAAAAACTGGTGTATATTTCAAATGAATATTCAGGGTTTTTCTGTCTAATTTTAAGTTTTGTTCTTAATAAATTTAGAGTTGTCTTTGGCATATTTTTTTGGCCACCAAAGACCTAAAGACCTCAATAAAATGTGCATAACCACTAATTAGTATCATAGCAGCATTTTATGTTTGGTGGTAAAGAAAAGTAATGTTAAATATTTTATTCACTTTTCTATATTAATAAAAAATGTGCTGTAAACAATTTCTGCTACTGACAAAGCTCGTCTCAGAATTTTTCAAGCCTGTTTACTGCCAGTGTTTTAAATGGCTGAAATTGATTCAAAACAGCTCTTAAATGCGTAAACCTGCAGAATATAGGTTTTCCGTGTTTGGAGTGGATGCAGAAGCAAGTTTTTTACTTTTCCGTCATGAATGCTGCAACGTGTAACTTAAAACCTACTTTCATTGTGCTAATTATTACTGAAAGTCTGTTTATTTTGGGAGATGCTCCTCCTGTAGTGCCTTATTGATGTGTGCTTGATAGAGGATTGCATGGCTATGCTCGGAAGTGTAGTTAGTATATTTCCATGTCATCAAAGACTTCATTTCTCCGAAATTCCCACAATTCCTTCCAAGCATGTGAATTTGGGGTGTCCTTGCTCAAAAAGTTCCAAGTACCTGGCCCACTTTATTTTGAAGCACCTCTTTGGAATCCCCCAATTCCAGTTGGGAATGCCCGTTCATTTTAAATAAAGTCAAGTATGTTATTGGGAAGATGGTTCAAAAGAACGTGCTTCTCGGGAGCATAGCATTGCATTATGCAAGTATTATGTAATAGAATGGAAGAAATTTAATTAAGTTGACAAGATATAAGAGGGATTCCATGGAAAATGAGGAAGTATGGATTCAAACACTACAAGAAGAAATTTCAAAACATTCGAGAAGTGCTCCCTATCTCCGGGAGTGTGTAAACTCGGTTTTGCTAGTGGTACATCAACATGTACATCGGGGTGTACACCCTCTCACATGAGGGTGAGATCCACTTGAATAAAAAAAATATTTTACACAAGTGGATTCCACCTCATGTGAGGGGGGTGTACATCCTTATGTACATTTTTTGATGAACAACTAGAATTATTCATGTAAATCAGCACATAAGGTATTATACAATGAACACGAGTATTATATTTTTGGATTTTAATTAAATAGTGAGTCTCAATTATTTAATACACATCGGTTAAATAGTGATAAGAGAGTATAGAGCACTACATTTTGTATGGAGAAGCTAAATAGTTTCTCCATTTTTGGAGCAAATGTATAGGTTCAAATACATCTTAAAAGTAGGATATTACATACAAAATTTGTCAACTAACCATATAATTACGAAATCAATTCATATACTTACAACATGCAGAGAAGGAGCATAAATAATGATCATGCCCAACTTTTCATTTATATTATAGCATACCTTTCCTGAAACTACTTTTGTGAGCATATCATCTAATTGATTTTCAGACTTGGTGAATAAGAACCGTATAATCTTTTTATCTAACTTCTCCTTGATAAAATGACGATCAAATTCAACATGTTTGGTGCGGTCATGTTATATAGGATATTGTGCAATTTCAAAAACTGCCTTATTATCACAATAAAGATTCATTCATAGGTTTTCTATATTCAATCCCCCTTTAGAACACTTAATCCATAACAATCACATACAATGTGAGCCATACCTAGGAAATAGTATTGATACATGTACATAATTATTTACATATTGATGTATAGATTGATGACATGGCATTATATTAAAGTTTAATTGATTTCCTTCTCTCTCTCTCTCTCTCTCAAATTGTTTTTTCTCTTTCCAGTATATTAATCTACTAGGTGCAAGCAACGTGCAATGCACGTTTGCTTAGTTTATATTTAATATTTTTGTTTAATAATTAATTTGTTATTAATAAAGATGTAATTTTTTTTTTTTGGTTAATTAAGGGCGTGTCTGGGCGCGCTGCAAGGAGGAAAGAAAATTGATTATGTTACCTTTTTTTTTTCAAACCTACAGACCTACAGTGAGAGAATTGGTCCAAAATTGCGGCTCCCAAAGGCATGAATTGTGTTGCCAACGGCTTGATTTCTGCTGAAAAA